AGGGCAGGCTGTGGGGCTGGCTGTACCTTGCCCAGCCAGACTAAGGACTAAGAGCCTGCTGAGTTTTCCCACTGTAGTGGAAAAGCTGTGGGTGAACGCTGGCTGAATCTGAGTACAGGAGGCACGTAAACTTCCCCCTCTGATGTGCCAACCCGGCGAGCTGAGATTCATAGAATTGTGGAATGGTTTGGGTTGGAAAGGACCTTAAAGATCATCTAGTTCCAACCCCCCTGCCATGGGCAGGGACAGGTTTCTCTGGCGTATTGCACATGTAGTCTAGCTGGAAAGGATCTCAGTGCTACGGCAGAGCTTAGGGAGAGGGGAAGACATGACACGGTGTTTGATCACAGCCCTCCTTGGGGAATTTCAGGTTGATGTCCCTCTGGGAAAAGATCTTAAATAATTCTCTGTGTAATGCCAAATCCCAGCCTTTGATCACTCAATAAAAAGGGCCAGGTTTTCCTTCCCCCCTTCCCCTTTAAGAAGCCTTTGAAATCATCAGTGTCTCTCTCTAGCTGCTGAAGCTCTGAGCATCTCATGGAGAGGCAGCCAGACTAGGGACAGAGTTTATATGTTGTAGGGAATACCTGCCTAACTGAACTTCGGATTAAACCCAAACCCCATCCCTTCCTCTGCTCTGGTTTCCATGTTTCTATGAGCAGCAGCAGCAACCTCTCTGTTGCCCTGCGCGTTTGGAAGGGCAGAAGGGGAAGGAGTCGGATCAAAGCGTGGACTTAAGCTGTCATTAAGCCAAGTGGCAGCACTTCCTCCCGTGCACGGCTGTTAGCTCTCTGATCTCCAGGGAGCTTGCAGGGCGCTGGTAGCCGCAGGATCCTTGCTTTTGCTCCTGCTGGGATGCAGTAGAGGGGAAGACCTCAGGCCACCTGCTAAAGCATCCCTCTGCCATTTTCATTATGTAGGCGTAGCACAATCTCGTGACAGCAGAGGGACAATCTGCTTTCTCCAAGGGAGTAGGATCTTTGGGGTACAGACATAAGCATCCTAATATATGTGGGCCCAGGATTCTGGGGTTGCCTGTGCTGAGGAGGTTGCTGTGATTTAGATGGGCCTGTGTAGCTGTTGGCTGCTTTCCCTCTCCGGGGCAGAGTCTTGTGTCAGGGAGGGGGCTTTGGCCCCATCCCCTCTGCTTTCACCTAGCTCTGCCCTGCTTTGCCCTTTCTCACCATGGTCCTCCTTCCAGAGTGCGGCTCAGGGGGCTCGGGCTCCGGCGACGGTAGTGAGTGTGAACAGGACCGGTGCCAGCAGTTCGGGGGCTGGTGGGATGAGGATGCAGAGGATGACCGCTGTGTGTGTGACTTCACCTGCCTGGCAGTGCCGCGCAACCCGGTAAGCACGCTGAGCTCTCCTGGGCTGCCTGCTGCAGCTCTCGCTCCCCTCCTCTCTTCTCCCTGGCGGCCTTCCCGCATGCTTCCTGGGCAGGAGAGGGCATCCCATGGATAGGGAACCTGCCTTCCTGTGCCAGGGACTGCCCTGAGTGGCTTCCCTCCCTGTCCTGGCAGGTGTGTGGCTCTGATGGTGTGACCTACACCAACGAGTGTGAGCTGAAGAAGACACGGTGTGAAAAACGCCAGGATCTCTATGTCACTAGCCAAGGAGCCTGCCGTGGTGAGTCCCCCAAAGGCAGCCAGCCCCCCCAGGCTAAGGCAAGCTGTGTGCACTGGTCCCCAGCCCGGTGCCCTGCAGTAACACGTGCCCTTTCCCTGGGGCTAAGCAAAGAAGTTCTCACTAAGGACACAGCAGTGTCCACGTCTGTTTGCTGATCCCCGCTGCATCATTCCTGTTTTGTGCCCTGTGCTTTCCCTGGCCAAGGGTAGGACCTCACCTCATCACCTGTTCCCAGCATCTCTGCGAGGACCACGTGCTTTTGCAGGAACGCTGCTAGCTGCTCAGTCCGTACAGTGGCAATACTGCCCTGCGGCAGCCTGCGTGATGAAGATAACCTGTACCCCTCTGCCTTCCTCTGCAGCCCTTGCCACAACCCCGCCACCCCTCCTGGTTGTGCACTGCAGCCAGACCATCTATGGATGCTGCCCGGACAACATGACCTTGGCGCTTGGAGTGGGGGCAGCTGGATGCCCAAGTGAGTGAATATTGTGTTCCCACTGCAGGGGGGGGGGGGCATGGAGTGGCTTCAAGGATGGCTGGAAGGCAGGAGAGGTCAGATGGAGGAGAGGACGTTGGGTCCCATCCCAGGGGAAGCAAAGGAAGGTGGACCTTCCCCATTCCTTTGCTAACCAGTGACCTCTCCGGCTCAAAGAAGAAGCTGTGGATGCCCCATCCCTGGAAGTGTCCAAGGCCAGGCTGGATGAGGCTTGAAGCAACCTGGTCTAGTGGAAGGTGTCCCTGCCCATGGCAGGGGGGTTGGAACTGGATGATTTTTAAGGTCCCTTCCAACCCAAACCATTCTCTGATTCTATGATCTTTAAGGTCCAACCCAAACCATTCTATGGTTCTAAAAAGCCTCCGTTTTCCCCCAGCTCCAGGCTCACAGCGTGGAGGTGTGTATGCATGCTTCCCTTCTACATGTACTAGTGCTGCTCTTGTCCTTTCAAAAGCTCTGAATCACCTTCCAGGTCTACATCCCTCTGAAATGCAGGAAGACAGAATGTTGGCTCAGGGCATGTCTGGTGCTGTCCATGCTGGACACCCCAGAAGGTGCCCCTGGGGCCAGCCGGTGCCCTCTGTGCCCTCAGCCCATTGCTAAAGGCTTAGGGCTTTTCACTGGTCTGAGTGACAGAAACGTAGCCGGTGTCCTTGTTCTGCAGGCTGAGGTGGAGCAGAGCTTTTGGGTTCACCTAGGGACTTTCTGCAGGCCACCCCCCCCCCCAGTGACTGCACTGTGCAGGGAGCTGAGCCGGCAAATGTTTCATTAATATTTATTAAATAATTATTGGAGTCAGTACTGTAGCAGAAGGCACATTTTAAAGGGCATTAGCAGACTCGTAACAGCTGAGGCTGTGACCACCCGTGAGGGAAACACATTGCCCCGCGGAGACACGGTTCACGACCTGCATCAGCCTGGTTGGGGAGGATGTGGTGGTGGTCAGTGTGCCATATGATTTACAGAGCGGGAGCGTTTGTGTCCAGACATCTCCAGGCAGGGCAGGCGTGGGGCAGTGTGGTGGGCGCTGGCCAGTCAGTGGGGATGGGGAGGAGACGAGCATCGTGCTTCCAGTGGCAGTTGGCAGTGACGTTCCTCTGTGTCTGGTGGAAGTCCTGTCCCCTGCCCTCCAATCCCCAGACACAGCATCCCAACTGACTGGGGTTCAGTATCCCACCAGTTTCTCTCCTGCTTGTGTCCCTGTATTGGCAGCAAGCATGCATCAGGAGGTAACTACCATGTAACCAGCAGCTTGAAGGCCCTTGGGCAGGTTTATCCATTGCTGCCTGTCCTGGATATATCATCTCCCTGCCTCTGGCAGTCCGGGATGTGCACACGCACCCTTCTTGCAGCTCCTGAGATCTCCCTTTGTCTCCAGCTCTGCCCCATGTCCCCTTTCTACTGCTCCATGTGGATAAAGGGAGCATCTCTTTCTCTATCTTTGGATCATTTCACTCCATCATATTCCTAATTAATGAATTAATAATAAACTTTTAATAGCTTCCTCCCCCTTTGATGTTAATGAGAGAATCGTTGACAGCAAAGCAAGCGGGTTAATCCCTGGAGGTTTAGTTGCCCCTTGTAGCAGAGGCAGAGGAAAAGCATTGAGAGCAGCTGGTGAAACCCCCTGCCCAGCATGAGACTGGGTCCCTGCCCTGGCTGAGCAGCTTGGTGGCTCAGCAGTCGGTCCGTCTGCCTCGACGCCGCCCCCCGCAGCATCCCCCCTCCTTGGCCAGGGCTTAGCCTCATGCTCTCTGTCTCTCTCTGGCTCGCAGGCACGTGCCAGTGCAATCCCTATGGCTCCTACGGCGGAGCCTGCGACCCCGCGACGGGGCAGTGCTCCTGCAAGCCAGGCGTGGGGGGCCTGAAGTGCGACCGCTGCGAGCCCGGCTTCTGGAATTTCCGCGGCATCGTCACCGACAGCAAGAGTGGCTGCACGCGTGAGTGTGGGCAGGGCCGGGCCATCACCCCTCATCCCACACAGCTCTCCCTGGCTCTGCTCTCTGGGGCTCAAGGCACAGCGGGGTAGTGTGCTAATTAAAACAACGAGCCCTAACGTTGGTCCTATTGTAAGTCACCTCCAGCGGCGTTATTTGCGGAGCCCGATGACTTAGTCCATGCAAGGTGGCCCAAAGCGTTGCACTGCTGCTTGCTGTGGGGCAGCTTGGCCAGGAGACGGTGTCTCCTTCCGTGGGGCAGGTGTTCCGTGGGGATGCTGAAGCCCTTCGTGGGGCAGGGCGGGCAGGTGCGAAGAAATGGGTTTGAAGCAGAAGGAACGAGGCAGTGGTTTTGCCCATTGATGCTGACCCCACCAGGAATAGCCATGTGAAAACAGCAGCAAACAAACAGAAAGAAAGCACTGATTATTGTAAGCTGCAGTGGAGTCCAACCAAAGAAATCCAGTAAGTGCCAACTAGACATAGGCCAGAAGAGCCAGGGGGAAGAATAGTTATTGGGGGGAGGTTGCAAACAACAGAGAGTATGATTCTACCCATCGCTGCAATGGCCAGGCTGGATGAGGCTTGGAGCAACCTGGGCTAGTGGAAGGTGTCCCTGCCCATGGCAGGGGGTGGGACTGGGTGGGCTTTAAGGTCCCTTCCCACCCAAACCATTCCGTGATTCTATGAAATCCCAGGATCTGCCATGTGGTAGCTATGTCTCAGGCTCCTACCTGGCCCAAGCCCCAGCCGAGGGACTGAATCCACGTGCCCTGCTGGAGGTCGCAAGCTCCAGCTGGAGACCCCGTCGTGCAGCTGAATGGTAGGAGGGTGCTCTCTGCTTCGCAGAGCGCCCAGGCGGGCAGACTCCTGGGCTCCTCCCACAGCTCCAGGAAGGAGTGCTTGTCTAAAAGCTGGTGCGTCCCGATTCAGTAGGTGCAGCTCAGAGCCAGAAAGCTTAAATTGGAAATAGGATGGCAGCTTTGGAACAGCAAAGGCATGGCACTGCTGAAATGTGTTCCCAAGTCTGTGCTTAATTTGCTCTCCCCTGCAGTCTTTAAATCAGACTGGGGTCTTGCTCTAAAAGCAGAATCATGAATGTCAGTGGGTAAAATCCTCTGAGCTCAAGCTAGACAGACAGCAATGGCCACTGTCTCTGCTACCATCCCTCTCGTTGTCCTGCACCAGAGAGAGACCGATCATCTCCTGGGATGTGTGAACATTCCACTGGAGCCACGTAAATCTTTAGTGCTGATGGGAAAGCGGGTCAGTGGGGTGGATGTGGGATTACGAGCCACAGGGCCATGGTCAGGGGTAGTTGCAGCTGGTGTAGGGTCGGTAAGTAGCGAGTAGCAGTGAACATTACGGTCCTCTCATGGACTTTTCTCTTGGATTGCTGGGGACCTGAGAGAGTCTCAGTCGGCTCCACGAATCCACCAGCAAAACCTTATGCTTTTTCCCTTCTTGCCCAGCCTGTACCTGCGACCCGGTGGGTTCAGTGCGTGATGACTGTGAGCAGATGACTGGACTGTGCTCTTGCAAGACTGGTATCACTGGCATGAAATGCAACCAGTGCCCCAACGGCAGCAAGCTGGGCATGACAGGCTGTGAGAAAGGTGAGGAGCCACGTACCAGAGGGATTGCATGGGGCACCGGGAAGTGGGTGCGTGGGTACTGCTGCGGGGTAACACATAGATCCGTGAAAGAAATGCATCCCACCCACCCTGCGTGCTTGTGCTTCGGGGGAAAGGGGCCCTGGCCTCCATTCCTGGCTGGGTTCATTGTCCGTGCACTCATGCACAGCACAAGGGGTTGTTTCTGTGCTGAAAGTCTGTCTGAACTGCTCTGGCGAGTCCCTGGGACAGCTAAGACACGCTGGGGGGAGAGGGGGATTTTGATTCAGCCTAGCCTGTTTCTTTATGATTGGTATGTTCATTGCTGACCGTCTCTTCCCCCTTCTCCCCCTACCCCAGACCCATCAGCCCCAAAATCCTGCGAGGAAATGAGCTGCGAGTTCGGGGCCTCGTGTGTGGAAGTCAATGGCTTTGCCCACTGCGAGTGCCCGTCCCCGCTCTGCTCGGAGGCCAACATGACCAAGGTTTGTGGGAGAGGCAGCCATGGAGGGAGGGCTGGTGTGCACGGGGGCTCGTGGCTAGCTCAGCTGCCTCAGGCTGGTGCAGGCAGCACAGGAGTCTGATGTGTCTTCCCCCCAACAAGAAGCAGGGAGCAAGTTTAGTCACTGTCTTCGGTGCATGGGGAAGGGTGATGTGAGTCGTAGATGTCTCCCAGCAGAGCTGGGTGCTCTGTGCCTCATCTGGCACGTCTGAGCTGCTCTGCTCCTGGGCATCTGCAGCCCACCCTCGGTCCCTCTGTGCCCACCATCGCCTCTTTGCCTCAGAGGGACCCCTGCAAAGCCTCTGCTTCCAGCACCTAGAGACTGGCTTGTTGTGGAGGAGGTGCAGCTCACGTTTCCCCTCTGCCTCCCAGGTGTGTGGCTCTGATGGTGTCACTTACGGGGACCAGTGCCAGCTGAAGACCATCGCCTGTCGGCAGGGACAGGTCATCACGGTGAAGCATGTGGGGCAGTGCCACGGTGGGTGTCTGCTGCTCCCGGTTCTGGGGCAGTGCCAGCTTTCTGGCCTGACACTGGAGCTGGGTCTGGCTGCCTCCCTCTGCACTGCCTCCCTGTGCCGTGACTCCTCATGGCACAGCAGACGCGCTGCCCAGAGCAGGTGCCTGAGGGTTTGCAGCACGATTCCCAGTGTCATGGCCAGCCTTTCCCAGACCTGCCCCTCCTTAGCTACCTTATCTTGCTGCTCTTTCAGAGTCCATCACTCACACAAGCCACACCTCACCACCCACACCGCTGCCCACACTGCCCTTGGACAAGTTAATCCTTCCTCCACCACTGCGACTCACCACGATGGCTCCAGAACCCACTGAGCTGGCTACCAGCTCCTTGCTGTTGGAAGCCAAGCCTACTGAAAGAGGTCACCCTACAACAAGGCGCATCACGACTGCTAGACCAGCCACTACACCGTGGATGACCCATGGGGTGTATAAGACCACCGTCCGCCCTCTCTCCACCGCACCAGTGGTCCTGGCCACGACCCAGCCTGCTTACGTTGAGTCAGGCAGTGCAGAAGGCAGTGGAGACCAAGAGATGGGCATCAGTGGAGACCAGGAATCTAGTGGGGCAGGCTCTGCTGGTGAGTATGCGCTTTGTGGGCTTGGCAGGTCGGTTGTGGGCTAAACCGTACTCAGAGCAGCATGGCCAGCAGGTCAA